TAGTATTCCTTTTGGCGGGCTTGAGCCTTTTCGAGGTTTTCCAGGGCCATCTTTAGCAACTCCTTGCGTCGCTCAGCAAAGTTCTTTGCATACTCATTTAACGCCAATACGTCATTCAACACTGGATTACGAAGCTTTCTGCCAGTATCAACTTCAAAGGGAGTCATTCCCGTAGATGTTTGTACGAGTCCTTGATGAGCATACTCGATGGTTCCGAGATGTTCAGTCCAGTCGTGACCCAAGTAGGACACTTGCCAGCGTAGAGCATCCTCCAAAGTTCGGTTTTGCCGTTCTGTGGCTCCATCACTGTGTGCTCGCCCAGCCGTAGTAATGTCGTGTTTCACATTCATGATGTTCATCAAAGCTTGCCAAAACTGACTAGCAACCTTTCAATCTTGATCACTGATAATGACAGCAGGCAGACCGTGCTTGCGGACAACAGTCTCAAAGAACACCTTTGCAGCTTGGTGTGCATCAACACACCAAGCAAAAAGGTCAACGTTGAGGCGCACTACTTGAGCAGTTACGATATCTTGTCGACTCAAGTCATGATTGAATATTTGCCATTGGAAACAAGGAGCCCTGTGACCCAGTCGATGGAAACTGTATGCCAGCATTCATCAGGAGACTATTATTCGACCATTGGCATTGGCACTACTTGCTACTTGACTTATAGCGTGCACAAGTTTCGCAAGGTTGCGACGTACAGCTTGACGTCTTCGTCCATTCGGTTCCAATGGTACATTTGAGCTACATGCAACTGCGTGCGCCGAATATCAGGGCTCGCTGTGGTGCTCGTGTCATGGCTTTGCCAAGTGATATCGCCTTTTCGAAAGTCGTCTTTGGGAACACGCAACTTCCAAATTTGGTCTAACGACTTCACGAACTAGAGTTCATCCTTTTTTACAAACGTAGTCGCATCTTCGAATTCCTTGGTCTTGGCGTAGGCTTGGATGAAACTTTGTTTCAACTTCTCGTCCATTTGCTGTACGATAGTTCTATGGTAGACATGTTGTTGTGGCACTTCGACTTCGAGGCTGTTTATTTCATTGGAAAAAATTGCAAAGCGGTTCCATCACCATCATAACCGAACGTGCCTCGTGAGCCCTCTGTGACCGCAGCGTCAAAGCAGGCGATCGAAGAGTCCTTCCGCGGGGCTTCCACTAGGCGTGCCTACGACACATGAAGAAGCCGTTGAAGCAGTCTCGAGCTCGACACTAAGGCTGATGTCTGGACAGCGTGAGCTGCGTGGACTAAGAATCGTCCCAGTGCCGTTCCAGAGTCCAAAGTTACGATTTGAGAGTAAGAGAGTGCATTCTATAGGAAAGCAATCTCAAGTATCCATGGAAATCCCTTGCATCTCGACATCCCGACGTCAAGCGTGGCGAAGGGCTTCGACGTCCGAGTGGATGGATTCTGCGCAGCACTCATTTCGCCAATGAAGGGCATTGCGACGGTCTGGAGCGCGGCTGCCGCGACGGCATCGGCTACACGCTCGTCCGCGCAACTCGCAACAGTTGCTGGGACTCCGCTGGGCGCCGCTAGTCCCGTTTCCCTCCGCAGAACCGTCCACAACAACTCGGCCTGCATTCAAGTGTAGGTTCTTTCACGAACCAACCCAATGCAACATTGTTCGCTCTGGCCATTGCCAAGTCGAGCA